GTCATACCATGACTGGAAATAAAAGCAGCAGGGATATATTCTTCCCCACAAAAGCCAGGGAGAGCTGCAGCTACGATTTTCTTTTTCACACTGTCTTTTCCAATAGACGCTATGGATTTTCTTCTGTCCCTTTGCTACCAATCTTTTGGTAGAATAAATGTGGAGGTGGGAACACTTTAATCCACCCTCTGTCTATATTTAAACAAATATCAATATGAGAATGGATGGGACGTGAGAAACCATGTCAGCATGGCTGACAGTAAGCTGATCACTGGTTTCTACAGGTTTACTCATTGGAAAAATTATCCTTCAAGATCAGTTTATTGCAGTCACTCAGTATTACATTTTGTACACTAGCAAATATTGTCTTTTGTTTTCCTGTTCCCTCTCAGCTGCATAATTTTCCCTGTGCAAATAAATAGTGACACTACTGGAAATAAGCATAAGGCGGATTGCGTGAGCATAGACAGTAGTAATAACAAACACAATATTTCATTTGCAAAAATGCTTCCTGCAAGGATACATTGGCTCAGCCAGCCCACAAACGGTCAGACTAAACCACATACTATAATCTGCAAAAATTTTACTGTATATAATTAATTTCTGCTGGTTAGATGCCATTAAAAATCACTCTACTTTGAATTAAAGAAATTAAACCTAAGGGATGCTTATTCATAATTTAAAATAGTTAATAATGGAAACATATTATGGAAAGAAAGTGACACTCTCCGGTTCCATAAAAGTAATAAAAATTGTGATCATAAGTCCATGCTTCATAAAGTAAAAAGCTAGAGCTTTTAAGGCTAGATTTTGCACTTTCATATATCAGTGTTTTAAGGAGAAATATGGACATGTAAATGTTATTCAGGATGTCAGATCATTAAAAAGTCATTTGAAATATTCTGCAAGATCTTTTTTAGGGTTACTTACAGGACAGGATGTGAGACTAAAAGATTGCTCTGATAAAATGATAGCTTTGATAAAACAAGTCCTATGGAGGCTCTCACAGAATTTCGAATACCTGCTGCTGTCACTGTTCTGCCATTTGATGTGCTATTGGTATCTAATATCTTTTTTTTTATTTAATAAAATGACTATTGTTCTGCATTTTATTTCTAATTAGAGAAAATCTTTTATGAAATAGTTTTTAAAAGACAATTACTTTTGTATTTGTTTCTTCTGACATATTTAAATACCATAAAGAGCTAACACTCCATTTTAATCCACAATGGAAAACAAATATATTATTAAAGGAAATTTTTGCAGAAGGGCACACAATGAATAATTCATTCAAGCTAATGATCTTTTTTTCTGTAATAATAAATACCTGTTACACATACCTCCTTATATTTTTTTATTTGAATAGCTCCAATGTAGCCACAAATGCACAGTAAATAAATACTAATAAGAACTTTATCAATTCAAGAAACTTTGTGAAATATCAATAAAAATTTATAATATTGACAAATGTTTTTTTAAGATGTAGATGGGTAGAAACATTTATTTTCAAGATAACCAGCATATTATCCCATTAGCCATGTACTTATATAAAGGAAAAGGGGGAGAAGTCAAAGATATCTTAATAGATTGCAAAGTGGAAACAAAGAGATTTTATCCATGCCGCTTCTCCTCGATTATGCTGTATGACCAGAAACAATCATATACCGCTGCTTACTGAATTTGAGTGAATAAGGTGTAAATAATTGTTCTAGTTATATATACAGAAAAGAGCTTTGCTGGAAAAAGAATGGAAATCAAAGAATGTGTAGAACAGACAACATATACTTTTCTGCTCCATGCATCTTCATTCTTTCACCTGGGAATTCAAATAGTAAATTTTCTAAGATTTTCGGTCTGAGTTTTTTTTTCAAATTCTCAGTCAAAACAGGCAACACATTTTAAGCATCAAGACTGAAAAGAATCTATCTTGTACTAATTCAGTACATCAAATCAACATCAATGCAAAACACTTGACATCTGCACCTTATACTAGATGTCCCCATAGACCAATGTCAAAACATATTTGTAGTCTATCTTATCTACATTCCTCAGCACTCTTGAAGGGTTAGAAGGTAGAGCTGAGATCAAGAAAGGTAAATCTGACACATCTGTCTTGTTTAAACATACACTTCGTTACATTTGCTGTGCAATGAAGGCTTCCCAGAACAAAACCAAATACTTCAACGGTTTCAACAAGCCTATAAAGTAGAAGGAATGGATGGGCATATGAAAAAAAAAAGAAAAAAAAAACAGACTTCAAGCAGAAAATGTAACTAAGAGATGTCCATATAAAAAGAGTTAAGGCAAATATACCAAGACTTCCAGGGTGAGAATAGGAGAGTAAACTAAGGCAACGCGTATTTGTGCTGAGCACATGAAAGAAATCATTAGGAAATAAAGAGGAAAAAGAGGAACCTCCTTTTACAGGAAAGATGTTTGTGTTTTATGAGATACATAACATGTAATCACAGACTGCCATTTTAAAAGAAAACTTAAAACAAATGCCTGAAGAAACTAGATTCAGTGGCTAAATATGTCTTCTGACGAACAGCACGTCTTGAGACAGTAAGACTTCTCTCATCCACAAGGACTTGTACTTGACATGCATTGTGCTCCTAGAGGTTTGATGTCGACATAGATGTAAACAGCTGCTTCAGGACAGAATTTGCCCTATATCTTTACACTGGTATGAGTGTGGAGGAGGAGACATTTTACAACAAATATATTTCATTTTTCAATACCAATCTCTTACTTCGTCAGTGCACTTCCCTTAATTTGTTCTCATATCTGCAGGATGCAGAAACTCTTACAGCTTGCTCTACTGCCTGCAGTGACTGAGGCAGCAAAGGACATGTGGAGAATGGGAGGGAAGGATTAAAAGATGAAGAGCAAGGAGTTGCAGAGGTCAGAGGCACAAGATCTGGGGTTCCTGTTCAGAGGAAAAGGACTGTGCAGGAGAAGTGAAAGGCATGGCTTGGGACAGCTCTTGTGAGCCGTAACAGATAAAATGGTTCCCCTTTCTTCATCATTATAAGACAATGCGAATATACAGCTCTAAAACTTGCTTGGGTGCCCACACTGTCTGACACTGACGCTAATGATGGTGAGTAAAACAGAAAAATATAAGAGACAGACAAAAGAAGAGGAGCAGCAGCACAGAAAATGAAAATCCGGGAAAGGTCAGTCCTGCAGCAAGACCAGCAATTGATTTCTGTGACAGCGATAACTACTAACGGGATGGCAGATTGTTATGTGTTGAGAAATCAGGACTTCAGGCAACTCAAGTTTAAAATACTGAGTATAAGGTAGGCCACTGGTACATGTTCTAACAATATTAACATCCATGCCGTGGAAGGGATTCATGAGGGAGCCAAACAACAGTCAAGTTTTGTTTCAATATTAGTTATCGCCAGCTTATGTATTTATAGTTTAAAATTTATTCTAGATGTAATGTTTGTCATTTGTACAAATAATATGGAGAAAACAGCTAAAATCATGATGCAGTAAGTAACTAAACATTTTAAAATTCAGTAAAGATTACTTATAAAGATCTTTAAAAGAAATTAATTAAACACACATGATCTATTATTACCCTTCAAGTTGCAGAAATAACGCTTCTGACAAAATGAGTTTTTCCTTGATTCTTTCACAGAAGCAATAAACCAATGAGTTATTTTAAAACTTTTTTTAAAAATGAAAGGAAAATGCATGTTTTCCTTGGTTTGCTTTTTAGTTTCAAGCCTGTAGTTCCCTTGGCACACGAATTGCTCCAAAGTGATTTTCTAGGATGCAAACATAAAACCTCAGCCATTACACACATTAAAAAGCTGATGTTTTTGCAATTGTTAAAGGATTGCATAGGGGTTTTTTTTGAAAATAAAAGCTGCATTAAAAAGTATTAAGATTATTTTGGTGTTGTGGTGCATGCCTATGTATATTTAAATCAAAATCCAATCCAATCCCTCTTCACAGTTAATATTTTATCTCTTCGTCCATTGAAAAGTACATAGAGCCAGTGTTAACCTCATAAATAAATCACCGTTCCTGAACTGCGTAATCTAAATGTCTAAAGCATCTGTCATGTTGCACGCATCTATTATTGACATCTGATTCAGCTGTTTTACTTACCATTTCAATGGGTAACAGGATGAAAAACTTAAGTGCACAAGGGATACAGAAGAATAACGAGCATGCTAGACATGGTTATTATGAAGCGTCTTCTAGATTTGATTCACTTCTCTGTTACGTACACGTGTAAATCAGATGCAATTCATCTGAGACAATTTATTGAGGCTGTGTGTGCCCACGTGAAAAAAGAAAAAGAAGTGGGCCCCTCTATCTCCTCTTTATTTTAAGATAACGAGACAGCAATTGCTTTTGGTTCAAAGAACTCTGTTGGAGCCCTGTGCTATTTCTAACATGTTTTCCATCTTCAGTACGAGGCATTTGATTTGGGTATGATACCTCAAGGCTTTGGAATGAAGTTGCAATATGTTTTAAAGTTCATTGTCCTTTGACCGCTTCGTGCTAACTCAAACACCGTTTTCTCTTTAAAGAATATAGGAAGAGAACTTCTAAATGTCACTTATATTAAAGAGTGTGTTCAGTTTAACCTTTTAAAAAGTACACTAAACTTATAGTTTGCATGTGAGGTGTCATAGAAAAAGGAAAAACCAAAGCATTTTTTGCTTTTACACGTTTGTCAGTTAAGTCAATTAGTTTTTAAGCCAAGACTTTCCCCACCTTTTTTAACTAAGATTTATTTTCACAGCCAAGCTATAATCCTATTAAAAATATAAAAACACTAAGAGGTCCTAATAGAAAAATACTCAAGAGCTGCTCAATGTTAATATAACTTGCCAGAATCAGTTTGAATTCAGGATAATTTCCTCAAGCATACCTGAGAACTTTGTTCATGCCATTAGCAGCACTGAAGTTACAGCAAGGGTTCAGATACAATGAAGGGGAAAAATAAAATCAAAGCACAAAACATGACTTACTTCCAGTATGATCAGGACATAGACACCTACTAAGATGATGGATGCAATTGTTACTTGTGCCTCTATATTTGCATGCAGGTACTGATACTTCATGGAGAGAGGAACACTCCCAGGCTCCTGTAGGAAAGCTTGAATGTTTACAAAGATGGCACCTCTGGAGAAAGAAAGGGAAGTTTTGCTTCCTTATGAAATGAAAGACCATTAATTTTATTTATGCAATAATTCTAAATTAAATATATATACATATATGCATTTGTCTTACAGTTTTTAAATTGCAAGCAACTTTTTCAAATATTTTAACTCTAGCCCTCTAGATAGCATTCTCTGGAATGTAACTCAAGTACAAAGCAGCCTTGGAAATACATTTAAAAATCAAAGGAAGAGTCATGCTTTCCTGCCCCTCTGAAGAAGGCAGTGATAGATTCTTTTCAAATTATCTTTTCCATTGCAGTCACGTCTATGTAAACTACTATTTCAATGGATCATTTTCTAGCCTGTTAGCCAACCTGTTTAGTATCTCAAAGGTTCTAGTTGTGATGATTTGCTGATTTCTTCTTGAACTTAAGGGTAGTGACCAGTTGTATACAACCTGCAATAGAGTAAAATTTGGTAATATTAATAAAAATTAGTGAAAGTAATATACGGCTCTGTATTTCTTTTTTTTTTTTTTTAATCTCTTTTTTTCTGTCTTCTGTGCCTTTAGGAGAAATATTTGTGGACAAACATTTCTATACATCATGCATACCAGCTTAAATCCATTCCACCTGAGTGGGTTTGCCAGAGGATATGGATACACATGGATACAGAGTCACTGCTATCTGCACAGCTGTCTTTGAGCACTGCCACAACCTGCATAGCCCTTAGCCCAAGTCTCCTCTGGGCTCTGCATGGTGCCGCAGCAGCCCTAAGATATTTCTTCTTAAATTCAAATTGTTTAGAAAAAAAAAGAGTTAAAGCCCATCAGAATGGTGCTTTTATAACATGATGGTGAAGACACTCTCTTGCTTGCCTTGGCATGTTTGAGGGGGGAGACCTGCCAGGACAGCATTAGAGGAATGTGTAGGGGAAAACAGCCAAAGCCAGTGAAGTCTCCACCATTCTCCTGCAGGCAGCCATCCCTTGACTGACCTGTCCTCTAAACAACAAGGATATTTACTCTTAGATACAGCAATATAGTTCACTCCCAAATTGAATTAAAAAAGCCTGGGGAAAAAAATATATATATGAGGTACAGTGGATGAAAGGCACAGAAACATCCTCCTACTTCAGACATTAAGAGGAGCACATGGTAGAATTTGCTCTTCATGCGAAAAAAAATAAACAAACAAACAAATAAAAAAGTTTTCTGAAACTTTACTTTTACGCTACAGTGATATTCAGGGAAGTTTACCCAAATAGGATCTTCAAATGTAGATTCAGAGAGTGTATCTTTCTTAATAAAAAGGAACTTAGGGATACTTAAAACTCAGTTAACTCTAGCCTAAATTCTCCTTCCTGTCCTGACCCTGTATCCTGCAAAGTGCAGAAAAACAGCTTGACCAGATAACTTAGAATATATGATGAAAAGAAATATCTGAGTTCCCTAGACATAGATTATTTTGGCTAGCTACTCCTCTGATCATGTGAGGACCCACCACTGGTGTGTCGGCAGGTGGTGGGTTGCTGGAGCAAACTGTACTCTGGCCCTGCCACAGCAGCAGGAGGGCTCCTTGGGGATCCCTACCACCAGCACAACTTAGAGCCGTCTTCTCGTCAGTGGGACTGCTGGTTTAAGAAAGTAATTGTCATTATAGTACTGTTTGCTAGGCTGTGGGACCGTTCTTGTGCCGTAGACAGTGTAAGTGGGAATACTACCGACATTGTTCAGCTGTGCTGTTATTGATAGAAACAGGCCAATCCACATATACAGAACCAGAGGCAGTTGTTTGTGTTTCACAATGTTATTTATTCAATGATGAAGCCTACTTTTTCCTTTCAAAAACACTTTCGAAATTTTGCCAGTTTTGAACACAAGAACCTCTACGCTAAGTGTGAGGCCAAAGGCATAAGTTTAACAAAATTATGGTGCAGGAAGCTAAAGGGAATCTATAAAGATGAAAGAAAATGCAGCTTCACTACTATTCTAATAATGCTGCTAAAGGTGACGCTGATATACGTTTCACAGTATGGAAAAGCACGACCAGCTTAACCCACCCAATGGTGACGGAGATACAAGTGTTAAAACACATCTTAGAAAGAATGAAAGAAAATCTGAAGACTATTACCTGCTGCTGGCGTCTCCTTCTTGATCCGGCATCTTCAGTCTGGCTGATTTGTACTACAATGTATTCCTCTGTTTGCTGACCAGCTACATCTGCTACAAAAGGTCCTCCTATATCTAACTTCATCAGGGCAGAGTCATGAAAGTCTGTAAGATTCATAGCTGTCAATAAAGTTGTTAAGGTGTAAGCCTTCAGTAAAAATGAGCATAAGACTGCACAAATTCTAGGGAAAAAAACCCATAAATTAGTGAACTGATATGGAAAACACATTTAAAACGCTTAGAAATTATTCAAAGAACAAAATAGATGTTTGTTTCCTCACCAACCACCACTCTTTTAGCCTAGCTTCCTGAGGAAACAGGATATACAGCATCACACTGAATACATCCATCCCTTCCTAATGACTTTTGAGATCGCTCACGGTTTCAGCTGACACTGTAGATGTAGATCTACAGCTGCACTGTAGATGCTCCAAAGCGGTTTATGAAAATACACAGAGATACAGAAAAGTAAAGCTCTTTAAGTGTACTGGATGAAAGGCTGTAGCATTAGCTCAGCAACGTAAACATCATAGAATTCGTACAGGGGAAAACATTGTGGAAGCTGCAACCACAGGAAAAACTGAGTCAGAATCAATGGCCTATTCATGCCAGACAAATTTCCTTTTGGCCAAGATCTCTATCATTCACAAGTTTTCTAACATCTAAAAGGCGCATATTCAAGCTTCTCCCAGTAGTCATGATCTCTTTCTCCCCCAGCCTCCTTCTTCTTCCTTTTTTTTTTTCCCCTCCCTCAGATATCGAGCATGAGGTGTGGTCAAACTGCACTTCCAGTAAAATGTAATTAGAAAGTCAGGCAACCATGATACACAAATCTATTGCAAGCTTGCCTCCACTAGTTCCAGTGCTTCAAGGATTATTTAAACTCAGTAGTGCTAGGTATCTATTTTTGGCATGGCTGAGAAAGAAGCGTCTGTATGGGTTTGGGGAAAAAGGGAAAGCCTGAGTTTTTAACCCCTTCACATTTGTTCTGTCACTACAACAGAATGACTTTGCAATTGTCTTGTTACTGTCTGTGACCAGGGAGAAAGTTAAGGTACCACCAACAAAAAAAATAAATTTCCTGAGACAAGAAAGAAAAGACTTGATTTTACACATACATGTGCTGTTGAAATCATGCGACATGAGCACATCCTTGAGTGTCTTAAGGATCTTAGTATCTGACATTTAACGGAGCATATTACAAAGAGTGAATTTGATGGGAAAAACGTACAAGATTATATACCTAAATAGAAGCTTCTGAGAAAGACGCTTCATTGCTCATAGAATTCAGAGATTTTTAACGGGAGATGAAAAAACACAACATTGTTAGAGGGGACCCAGTACAGTGCTGTATCCTGCCTCCCAGTGAGCCCCAGTAAGGCCATCGCTAACAGGCCGGGCTCTTGCTCTGCTGTGGCATTACGAGGAGTTCCTTAAGCTTTAAAAGCAAATTGTTGCATCTTTCCATATTCCCAGCAGGAAAAGCGCATCTGGACAAGAAATGTCTCTCCCACTCTTACCTGAAATACTTCCTATCAGATCTAGCAGCGGGTGACTGGCCCATGCATTGTGAAGCAACATAAATGCCACCCTGCTTAGCACAGCAAGCAGAGCCACCACCTGCATGGCTGCTCCGACACCATCCATAAACAATGAACCCCCTCAGGCATCTGTTTGCTTAAAAGAATTGCACAGGAAAGGATTAAAAGAAAAAAAAAAACAGATGCAACAAATTAGGAGAACAATTGCAAACAAGAGAATTTACACGCAGGCCTTAGCAACTATAAATATAAATTACAACAGTTTCTGAAGGTTTTAAGTGTGACTCGGCATCACAGTTCTTCCGTGTCCTAAAACAGTGATATTAATCTCCACTGGAACTATGTCTATAGCTTTAACTGGAGACATTAATTATACCTTCGAAAAGGCCTGACGACCTGAAGTCATTAACCCTATGATTTGGGACATTTCTGACGGTCTGAATTTTATTAGGACCGTAGTCAATAATTTATGTCTACAAAAGCTTCAGGTGCACAAAATTATGGCAGCTCCCTTTTAAGCAGTACTTTCAAAATAAATCCTGTAATTACCTAGACGACACATTCAGAAGCTATTACAAAGGATGCTTAAGATTAAAGGGGAAAAAAGTGAAACCTTATTTTGAAAAATAGTGGTTCCTTCCTGCTTTTCTTACAAAGATCAGGATACTTAAGATTCTATTTTTTTCTATTCCTTCCTGTGCATCTATGAAACTGCCAGAAAGAGCCCTAGCAAAGAAAAAGGTTCTCCTTTGATTGCAAGTGAAACTGAACATCATTCAAAGGTCTGGACTGAGGCACTAAGAGCTGAAATCCCCTCAGAGTTATATTTCTCCAAACAATATTTAGAGACTCTGTCATAATTCTATTGTTATAGTGCAGCAGATCACAGCCTTTAGGAAAGGTAGAATCAAACTAAACCAGGGGAAAACTTCAGCAACACTTATATAAATCAAAATGAAATTTTTTACCAAGCTGTTCCTCGGAATAGTTTTGTTCTACCTTATCTTTTTTTATATTTCACTTAAATTGCCAGAATGTGATCTCTTCTCTATTTTAATCATTAAACTGTGACTTTAACTTATGGGAAAACTATCTTTTTACTTCTAATATTGCCTCTTACTCTGCAATTTAACCACACAGAGATTTTTGGTCTTTCCTGAGCCTTTTTTATAATGTTGCCTCCTCCAATATACGCCTTTCATGCAAAAAAAAAGCTCCTAGACAAGATTTACAGCTGGAGCTGTCATTTTTATTTCATTTCAGCTAAGCTGTCTCATTTTTATGCAGTTCCATTCTTGAAATTATATTACTGCTGCGGATTATTTTGCTCCTATCAAGGGATCTGGGTTTGCATATGCTTTGTGCAGCATTATACTGTGCCTTTCTATGTCTACCTCTGGAACCAGTTTGGGCCCACAGCTCAGAACTAAACCGAGAGCTGTTTTCCCCTTCTGGGTTTTCTGACTTGCTGCTCCTAGAAGGGTTTCTAAGGTGTCCGAGAGCCATCTCACGTCACTTTATTTTTTTCTGCCTTATGTAGATAACATGATGGAACAGGAGGCAGTGGCTAAACATTTCAATTGGCATTCATTCACCTAAATTTATACTTCTATACTGTGGACATCCGTATCTGAGTTAGTCACTCTGTTTCCTTTAAAATCACTGAAAAGAGCGCTTTTAGGACGTAATTCATTGCCTGACTTTAGACCGTCACATTAAGATCAAAGGAATCGCTCATTAAAAGCATCTCTTCTCTCTATTAACTATAAAGAGAGCCTAGGCTGACTAACTCAGGGGTAGCTGAGATAAGTCACACCCTAAATACTGAGTCCCTGCTTCACCGTTCATCATGGCATTTATTCACTCTATGAAGTAATAACTGAAATGCCATAATTGACAGCAATACTCTATTACATTTCCGTGCAGACGGCTGACTTCATGCTTTCTTTAGCATCTGCTTGTATCACCTACTCTGCCTGTTATGAAACATACTTTGAGATTCCTATGTCCACTGTTTTTCACCAGGTTTCCTAGGTGCTTATTACACTATTGATCCAGATTTATGAGCAGGTCATTCATGCTGGTTTCTTAAGTTTCTAACATTTTAAAGGAGATAAATACTGGATCTTAGTATTTACTTTCATATATGTCCTTAACTGAAGTTATTTCTACACTGATCCTTGAAGTTTTCTCTTTTAATCTTGCAGATTGCTGTTCCTTTCCTATAGTGGGCGTGTTTTTATGTCTTCACAATGCACCGTGCTGAACCACATGTTCTTCTGTACTTGCTAGGTTTCCCTATCTGAAGAATGTTTTATAGCTTTCTTTTTTCTTTTTAAAGCATCAGCAGTCTGGTTTCACTGGAACCCACCCTTCCTCTAGGCGCTCCCTCCATTGCACGAGTTTCCTGTGTTTTCAATAAACCTTTCTTTCCTACAGCATTTTTTCAACCAGGCCTTCAGATTCTGCTTCATTGGCTGCCTCTACATGTGGTCCCAGTTCTCACCTACCTGCTTAGTAGCTTGAACACTGCCTGCAGGACAAAATGCTTAGTACAGTTCCAACAGCATCGACAAATAGAGAAGATTTTTAAATGTATTCTGCAGTGAAAAATGACTGAGGAGTATCTGACAGTAGAGGACTATGGTAACAAAATAGAATAAATTCAAAGGGAGTAGAGAAGTAGTTTTATTCATTCGATTACTTTATGCTCCCTGGGAGATTTCTTCAGGACCTCCACAGAGTCAGAAAAGCATATTAAATTCTGAGTATGTTCTCTTCATCACAGTCTCTCTTTCTATATATACTTCTGGTTCATGGATGGGGAAATGTGATTTTTCAGTACCACTGATGGTCCTGGCATTATGATGACAAGTTTTCTTAGTGACCTTTTCTTGCACCATGATTAGCACAGTTGCACTGATCATTCATCTCATGCAACTTCAGCTAGGAATGTGATAATAAGGTACATTTAGCCATCTGATGTCTTCTTGGTCTATAGCCTCCCCCATCACCCTCAATATGTGGAATTGTTCTGAAAAGTTCCAATGAATCCAACTAAAATTAAAACAATAGCCTTAGAGTTTAAGTTTCAATATATTACTACAATTGCAATACATCTACTACTTTCTGAATTTACATTCTTAATTCTGAACTGAGCATCATGAAATCTCTCTGAGCTGCTAAGGAGAGAGGTAAGTCACTGAAAATGGGCACTAACAGGCTAATGTGATATCTCTGACTTCATCTGATTTGGACTGACAGTAGACCCATTCAGCCTTGACTTAAGATATTGTACCTATCTCCTTTAAATTTTGTTTTCTGGTGGTGGCACTTAAAGAGCAAGTGAGTAAGAAACCCTTTACATTAGCTGCTGTGCAAATACATTCCTTGCAAACTGTCAGTCCTCACTCCAGAAAGTTTAATGATGAGATATCAAACAGATAAAGCAAACAAGCAGATTAAGACTGAAAGGAATTAAACATATATGAAAAAAATACAAAATACTTGGCCAATATGGGAAAAATTCATAATCCACTCCCTAGTTATTGTCAGGTTTTGGGTATAAGAGAGGTAAGTTTCGATGAGCACTCCAAAAAAGGAAAATGAAACTGGTTCACCTAGACTGACTGGGACCACATGTAGAGGCAGCCAATGAAGCAGAATCTGAAGGTCTGGTTGAAAAAATGCTATAGGAATGAGGAGTTTAGTAAGAACTCAGGAAACTCTTCCTCACATGTAGGAGGAACTGGCACACTGCAAAGGCTTTTGAAAGGGAAGCAAACAAGAATGTTACTGAAAGACTTATCAGGGATAGATTAACGATGGAAATTCACAGCTCAGTGAGCTAGGTGTGAGCCTAGTGTCTTAGAAATGTGCTGAAAGATGTTATCCCTTTTCTTATGAAAAGCAAACATTTCTAGTATTGAGAAATATAGAAATAGGAATAATTATGTCAGGGGCAGAGCAAGAAAAGAAGGCACTATATCAGGAAGACAGAGACACTTCTTTAAATGACAGCGAGCTAGTGCACAGTTTGATTGCATAATTCCTTATTAGCATCTATGAATCCCCATTACTTTACAATTTCAGAAAGCCTAGCTCTGTTCCAAAGGCCAGTGCACAGTTCTGTTCCAGCTAACTCTTCCACAGTGCTTGAGTAAAATTAAAAATTTTGCTTAGATCAGGCAGAAATTACTAGAAACACAGTACAAAGAGAAGTACAGGACCAAAGAGTACGTTTAGCATTTCATAATGTTCTTCAAAATTGAAAACTTATGTAGTAGGGGTGAAGTGAAGAAATACTTCTTACTCTTTCCGTGGTTATTTAGTTAATGGAGTGAGGTTACTTAAAGGTTTGAATGGCCAGACGGTTAGAGAAAATAATGTTTTAGAATAAGTACTTGTAACTAAAATAAGAAATGCTGGGATTTATTCAGACTCTATATCTCTTCTTCTGTTTTTAAGATCTGCTTTCCAGAGGCACATCATCTTCTTAATTATTGATGCTTCCCACTTAACATACAGCCTTTCAGCAAAAGATCTGAAAATGTTTCATAGAATTTCTCTAATAGAGTTATCGAATCTTGCATCCTGCAGAAGATGGTCCTCCAGCCAGTTCTCTCTATCTAGTTCTCTCTGGTATTAGAGACCTGACTGCTACAACTTAAGTCGATAAATCCCAAGTGGTGGAAAAAAGGCACAAAAACACCACTACTTTGGAAATCGTACTAAGTCCATTGAATATGGATCTGGTGCCAATAGGGAAACCAGTATTAAAACACATCTTACAGACTCAGAAACCTTCTATTAATTCATAGGAGGCTACGTGTTGTTCTCAGAAACTGCAGCCAATCCACCTTAGTGCTTCATGCCAGGTTTGTATCTAAGGGAATGGTCAAAGCAAAGGTAGATACAAGTGGGCTTATGAACAAGAGACAGAAGATAATGGGAAGCGGAGTAAATCCAAGCAAGAGATGAAAGTAGAAAAACACTAAACAGAACTAGAGCAAATGGAAAAGACATGGAGAGATATCATACGGAAAGCAGGTGATCCCCATCCCAGCAGACATAGCTCTCTCTCAGCAGTCAGCGTCAAAAAGGCCTGCCTTCAAACAAATCTGAGATCAAATAGGCAAGACAGGAAAACCATAAATATGTAAGTGACACTAGGATGATTTAAACGATGTGAAACCAGAAGTATTTCCAACTTTGTTTTTTTATTTTTCGTATTTTTCTAGTGCATGCAGACATTGTCTGCGTGAGATCGCACAAGCACAACACACGTGCCCATGTGCCTGGGCATTTATGAAAAGAAATAGAAATGGAACGAATTTTTTTTTTTTAAATAATCAAGTATACAGCAGTCAGTACCCATTCAGTACTTCTTAACAGCTTTTAGACAAGAACGAGCGGTAAAGACTGTTCATTTGCATAATTTAGCATTATATGAGCTGTTACTTGTTTTCCACTCAAAGCAGTCTGACATCATAACCTCTAAGGGTTTTGTGACAAGGACTACTGCAGCACACCTGCCAGTTTACCAAGAAATTGCTGTACACATTCAGAGAGGAGCTCCTAATGTCCACTGGGAATACTGCAGTCTGTCAGCCAACAGAAATTACATCTTTGACATTGCTCTGTGAATAGTTAACATTATCCAAGCCTAGCCAAAAAGGTGAATACTTTCTTCACTACGTAACAAAGTGGAGGACAAACATGTGACTTTGCATCCACACAAAGAAAGACTGGCAGCCACAGTGAGATGTGGTTCAGAACTGCTCATGCTTTTTCCAAACCTCATCTAAAAATTCAATCTTTCTCCTGGACCCTTTGCTTGAATTACCATGTCACCTTGAAAATGAAGCATGGCTTTGCTGGACTGCTTACCTTTTATGCATTTTTGTCATAGATCACTGAACCTCACCATAGGAGTGTGAGGACAGAATGTCCAGCTTTCAACACCTATGACAAAAATTAAGGAGCTTCATCTCTGGGTTTGCTGAGCAAGGAAATTGAAAGCCATAATTCTAACTGCCTGACAGCTAGTTGGCTAAAAGCATTCTGACATGATAAGTAAAAAGTGAAATATAGGAATGCTTGGTAGTACTCATATCACTTCTCTGGAATAAGCAAAAGGAATTACTGGTTACCAAGTCAATGTCTACAATGCAGCAACTGTGGTTCCAACCCAAAATCTGAGGAAAGAAAACAGATCCTCAAACTGTGATATGACATGATATGACAGTTGACTGAAACTTCCACACAAAGACTTGCTGACAATACACCCTGATTTGGCAGATTTGGCCATTATAGCCCTGATGCTGTCCATGACCACATATATATAATAATAGGAGCTTTCAACCACAGTTGAAAGGAAGATGAAAATATTGATGTGAACAGGCTGCTGGTGGCTATCTGCAGTTGATGCTGTCACTGGTTCTACTACATCTTCACTTGCTTTCCTCCAGCAAGCAATCAACATCTAATTACTATAAATGACCCCCAACTGTTAATCTTTTCTTCCTCATTTAGCCTGCTAATACTAGTGTGATATTGTGCCACTAATGACAACAGTGAAAATGCTGAAAAACAAATCTATTTAAATGGACTCTCCCTTCTCAAAGCTGTGGACCTGCCCAGTTAAACAGAAAAATTTAGCATATAAAAAATTAAATCCAGTTGTACCTTCCCAAAACAAGCAAACACCTACCAGATGCTTCTGAAGTACGTTTATAGTTGAATCACCTTCGAAGGCTAGTGGAGTAAAAAACCAAGGAAATCGTAGTCTGATAAAACTATAAATAAGATGGGAATTAGAGATGCAATTTTTTTGCAAAAGTTTTTGTTTGTTTACTAACCAAATGTTCATCCCTCAAAGACTTCTCACTTTCAGGTCTTCATTCACCTGCAGTGAATTATATTTATTTCTGGTTATTCTATTGCTGGTTCTCTTGAAGAGTTCTTTGACAATCAGCAGACTTGAATTCACTATTGAATAACTTATGCCTGGAAAGTTTCTAAGGGAATCTGCACCTCCACTGAAAAATATCTACAGGCTACAGTCCAAACCTATGACTGGGCTAAACTGTTATGGAAACATATCTGTGAACCAGCTAGTTTGCCACTTTTGAAGGAGCTCACTGGGTAGCATCATAGTCCAAGCACATATAGTGTCCAGACAGGAGCGGGGAGTAGTCACTGCAGCTGGGTGCATGTCCTAACCATGGTCCCAGTTATTTTCTAGGACTTGAGCCAGCTGGGCTGCAACCCGTTTTCACGCTCAGCTTCATGCAACAAGACTAGATGGAAACCATAAGTTCTCCCAGGCAAGTGGATTCATTCAGAATGCCTGGGGGAGCAGGACTGTGGCCTACATCAAAAGAGAAGTCTAAGTGCAGCCTGGGCTCTGACGACATTGAATTATTTCAGGGTATAAGATAGAAAGCAGCCTTTCAACCAGTTTATCAGTGAAACTTCAGTTCAATTTTCATGAGAAGGATACAGAAGCTTTCCAGAGGTGATACAGCCAACATCTGCCAGGGCATACCTTGCTCTGGATAAATGCCAAATAAAATCTAGGGCAAGATAAAAATCAAACATGCATTAAACCAAATTAATACAAAAATTGAAAAATATCTACTAAGCCTACTTCAAATACTTAAAGAAAACTGTTTCAAACTGTATAATATATCTTAAATTTGTTTTCAGTGTTTTTGGGTATGTTTCCCCACAACTGAAAAATCTGCCGTGGGATACATAACAAGGGCAAGTAATGCTCATTCCCTAAACTTACTGCCAAAGACATACACTTGATTTATTTTATTCAACTGCCTCTTAGAACAAACTTGTAATCTTAAGGATCTATCTGGAAAGCAGCATTCCCATCTGAGGGAATACAGAAAGTCATTTTTTTGTCTTCTGATACAGAAACCTTGCCAGCCTAAATTGTGTTCCTCATAGCAGTTAAAAGGATAAATTCTAAGCTTCTGAAATGCTTTGCAAGTTTTGCAGCCAAAGGCTTTGTTGATTTCAAAGATTTCAGTGGCAGAGCGCTGTGCTCCAGCAACCCTTGGTGGCAAGCTGCCTGCCTTCTGCACTATTCTGTCTTTCACACAGTGGAATGCTGTGATTGCTGGTGCATGTTCCCCGGTACATTTTTTCTGACAGCTGCTCTGTTTCCCAGCATCTTCCAGCTGTGCCATTTATGTTGCTACTGCAGAGCAGTGAGTGGAGAGGAGCCAGGAAAGGAGCCACTCGACATCTGCCTCTAGCTGCCTCACAGCATCACAAGATGGGCAAATTTAAAAGCCAATATGGTGATGCTCTTATGTGGTGACAGAGGTACAACAAAGACTAAGAGCAGCCCTAATGGAACGGGGGAGGACAGACTGAAATGTTAGGAATGGGACAGGAAAACAAAAAGCATGCCTGAAGTTCATAGGCAGAAGGAGAGCATATTTCTTGGAGAAAGATGAGGCTAACAAGAGGAAGACGGGAGGGATACAGACTGTTGAAAGGGGATGAAAAGTGCACAGGGAAAGAAAGAACTGAGGATGAGAGAGATTTTTTAAAGATATATTGGGGTCTTTGGTCTGCCAAGAGGACACAGCTATATGCTCTTCTCTCTTCTTCTAGACTTTCCTTTCAATCCTCTTATTTCGGAGAGGCTCTGCCTTTCCTCAGTGGCTGCAAGAACTCACTGACAGGAACTACTCCCAATTGCTGTATTTCAACAGCCACTCAGGAAAGGGGAGAGTCCACAAAAGATTTTATATGGTTTATTTTCTTCCGTAAGAGAACGGCCATTTAAATGGAGGAGGTAAACATATTGGCAGGGGGAAACCTATGAACATTCCCCAGGTTTAAGTAGTAGTATCTGAAGACTCATCCTATGGAAATATTAACGACATACAAATTGGAGTTTAAACTGCCTCCTCAAAACCAGCTCCCTGCCCTACTACATTGTCCAAGGTGGCAACTAGTACTCTGAAGAGTGGTCCGAGTACGCATAAGGCTCTGCACATTATTTTCATTTTTTGCTATCCGAAGGGCAAAACATTAAAACATTATTTTATTAGCTAAGACCAAATATCACACCTCATTTTGAACTAGTTGTAAGGAATTTAACAGGAGGGGGAAAAAAGGAAAGGATCCAATACTTACCGAGCAGACAACTACAAAGATAAGAAGGCCTGAAACTTTTAGGAATTTTAGACAGCATCTGAAATGTAAAAATATTTATTGAATGATTAGATCAAATTACTTTAAAAAAATCTTTTTTATTCTCTTCATAGTCCTACCCTTTCAGAAACATCATGCTAAGCACCTACAGGTGACACCATACGGTCTGTTTCATAGTACAGACACCACTATGGAGGGTCAGCAAGGGCTTGGGCTCTACACGTGACAACAAGGGCCTCCTGCCCTTGCTCTGCTGCCAGCCCAATCTCGCGGCATGGGAAGGAGGATTTACATCCTGGGAAACCGGAGTGAAGAGGCAGCACAAGCTGCTGCTGGGAAGCCCACTGGCACCGCCGCAGGGGAGGACGAGCTGCAGCCCCTCGCCACCACGGGGTGGAAGGACCAGCGTTACCAAATCTCCAGGGAAGGAAACAGGGATGAATGGGGGCAGGAGCCAAAGCTAGTATCACAGACACCCCAGTGCTAGTTGCAGCTAATAACATCAGTATTTCATTCCCCCAGCATCAGTCTGTGGCCTGTCACAGCTGGTGTGTGGACAACGAGGGCTCACGTGTCCTCTAACCCAGAGGGGGCATCCCTGCAAGGACAGATCAGTGGGAAACTGTTCCGAAAAATCCCGTGGCTAGCTTGAAAGCCCAATTTCAAGTAGAGCATCAACGTACACCATCACAAGCTAGTCAGTTTGCAGTTCCTGGCAAACTGGGGGCCTACTTTAAGGACCATAGTCCTTACAAATCTGGAACTGATTTGAACGTCAGTGGAGCTTCCTTACATAAAAGCTTAAAGACAGGGCTCTAAACACATTTTACTTGTTGCACAGAGGGGTATTATCATGAAATACTTCCTCAAAATTGAGCTCAAAATGTGTCCTTAAAGGTATTGGGAAAAGACAGTTGGAAGATGGGAAGAACTTTAAGATTCCTTCAGCTTTGAAAGTACGTCTTTAAAGCAAATATGCTTCATGAGCATCTCTAGAAAAACTGACAAGCAGAACTAGATTTTTTTCCATAGCACATCTGTGCACTTTGAGGGAATTCCCACATCTAGGTCTTTAGTGCAATCAAATCTTCTGAAGTGTCAGAGCTCACTATTTAGCGGGTTAAGTAAGAAAAAGTCTAAATTAAAATTTTAGATGTAGAAAATGTGTGCTCTTGAATATGAAATATTAAGACTTATCAATTTTAAATTACCATTTTTGTATCTTACCATAAAAGGCAACTCAATAAATTATTTTTTCACATTGCCCATCAGTATGTTACACAGATGTCTTGATTTACAGAATGAGTTGCCCTTATTAAATCTTTTTATTAGTTGAAGCCATTGATGTTCTCATCATATTTTTCAGAAGTAAACATTTAAAAGCTGCTTTGCTTTCCTGACAGAATGACAAATGGACAGTTTGATTTAAGCCTGATGACAGCAAGAAGAAAAACATTTCAAGTTACTAGGATAATTAGTTGAGAAGGAAGCACCGCAATAAATAGCTGCATTGACAGACGCTGTAGAACACAATATTAAAGTAGAGTAGTCTGAAGAGAGTCAGAAATATTTTATAATCACAGTGGAAATAAGTTCCTAAATCAAATTCATTGACTGAAAACACCGTGAGTGACTGGAGACCCATTTTTGAAAAACATTGTTTTCTAAAGATTCCTTCTTCTCATTAGAGTTCTCCAAACAGGCAGAAAAGACAACAGTTAGTTAAAATATGAGGCCACAGGCAAAGTGGGTATGAAGGGGCTACAACAAATTTAAATGGTAGAAACTTTATACATATTTCATACAGAACAAAAATCTAGAGAAGGCAGTGAAGAGAGGAAGCCAGTCAGGTTGGTTCTTCCAGAAACAGCAGATAGCCATGCTGTGATGAAAAGCAAGGCAGAGGTAGAAGAATATTTTACAAAGGTTTGAAAAGGGAGGAATGACCAAAAAAACCCGTTATCAGTACCTTGCAACGGATAACTTCTTTTGGTATTGTGTGATTTATGGAAAACATCTAATGCTCAGTCATATTTTTTCTCTCCCCTACTTGTCTGTTCTCCCTGTCTTTACACTACAGTTCCATTTCATTATTTTTGAGAATGTATGATTTTATGAATTCCTAAAGCACAATCCAGATTGGTTTGGTTTTAATGCATTTGATATTTTCTGTTTGCACTTCCAAAGTATCATTTCAAATAATAATAATTCATATTATTACCAAAACAAGAAACAGTAACAACTTGATTTTAAGACATAGAAGAAATCAAAAGGCATTAATTAAGCTTTTATAAATTCATAACCACTTGCCTGTAAATAATAGAAACTCATCTCAAGGAGCTGACAAAATGTAATAAAAAGCTTTTTGGAAAGGTTATTTTGTTAAATGTAGAATTTAGAAGGCTTTTTCCTCCCGTCTGTTTGTTTTCATGGTATCTTGTATTAGGGAATGAGTGCTTTTAGCAGCTTACAGTTGAGAAGTGATCAGCCTTTGACTCGCCCATGTTTTGCAATCTGTCTCTCTCTACAGTTCTAATCTGGCACAGAGATGCAATTACAAACGCAGTGCCAAATTCTCCGCTGATATATGCTTGCAGCACAATTCTATTTTACTTCAGTGGGAAATGTGTGAAGTATAAATCTACGAAGGATTTCACTCCCTGTTCCAAACCAAGTGATTTTTAGTCTGATCTGCATGCGGTGTCAGGCAGTTTAAGTCCATTTATTTCAGTGGAGTTATGCTGATTTACAACTGCCTAGGAGTTGGCCCCGTATGTACAACCAACACTAAAGTAATGAAAATAACTCACACAAAGTTCTGCCAGAAAAATATATTACTCTCCAGAACATAAACGTATGCCATACTAGAAACAATTGATTCTACAGTCCTACTCAATGCCTTTATTCCATCAAATTCTGGAGAAAGCTACTGAGAGTGTGAAGAAAGACTTCTGCCAAAGTTCTTCACATCTGCTCATATTGTACTAATTGCAGCCATTGGAAATTATCCTGCTCGATGTATTTAGCAAGATGGTGGCACTCCGCACAACATAATATGCACAATGAACGAAGGAAAATAATTGTAAAGTGATGAGCTAAGACAATAAGCATATTGGGAAAAGATGCATGGACATCTTGTTAAAAAGAATCCACGGATCAACACGGAGATGCGGACATTCAGTGCTGGACTCCATGCAAATCTGCAGAGCGATTAGCAGAGGCCATACCGGAGTATGGAAAAGTGTTGAAACTCTGGAAGCAGCAGAGAGAATTAGTATCTGAGACGAAAGGGTTTGATAGTTAAAACCCAGCAGAAAATATCCTGAGAAAACTAGAACTTAAGTTCTTGTTATATCGATATCTTGTAATACAGTAACAGATTCAACTTCCTTCTTGCCTAAGTGAGGTAGAAGTTTACCTTGAGATAAAAAGTAATGTACTTAAAGGTACAAAAATGCCTAGTTATATTCTGCATTGTGTTTATGTAAAAAGCTACTATAATTGCTACAGAAAGACTGTGCTAGATACACAGGAGACTATATACTTTTTTTAGTTACAGTGAAATATATTATAAAAGTAGTCAAACTAATATTAAAGAATAAAGCTGTGTAAGAGACCGAGATGCTTGTAAGAAATGGCTCCAAAAATACTTGAAAGAGGATATAGACAGTATCTAATTTCAAATTTAGAAAAAGGGCTATGATTAATGCTCGTGACGACAAGGGGCTATTGACCATTAAGCAGAGTTTTAGTCAATTTCACCAGAAATTATTTATAAACTATCAATGGCATGACATGGCCTAAATATGCAGTGTTATTCTATTCATTTGCAGAAAACAAGTTGTTTTCTAGACATTTACACTTAAAAATTAATTAGTAAATAAAAAAGAATAAATAAAGAGATAAATTAATGTTCGAATTCAAACCTCATCTTTGATAAATTGAACTTTACATGGAGGTTGTCCAAAATTTCATATCTCTCAGAAGAAACAGATCTGGACAAACTGGTCATTCCACTTCCCAGATGAAACCTTTGTTCAAATTCTGCCGAGCTGTTGTCCCATGAATCATCATCCGTGGTAAAATCTGGATTATGAAGAGCCAGGCACGGTAATCTGTCACACATTTTCAGTAAATATAATTAAAAGTGATTTATTTCATCGGATAACAAATGCAACCAATCTTGCATGTGTTTAGCTTCACCATAATTGATTTTAACGGAAATATTCATGGAAAGAGATTTATTTAGCACAGACCGTGCTCCTCTTTGGGACAGAGTTGGGTAGAGCAGGGAGCAAAAAGAAAGACCTCGTGTTTGTACATGTTTAGGTGCAGCTAGGAGAACGAGCTCTCTGATGCACCAGGCTGCCTCAGGATTCAGCGTGTATGACCTCTAAGGGACCCTTCGTACAGCTCTGCTATGTCTTCCAGTGCACCAGACACAACAGCACAGGGAGGTAACATGAGCACACAACCTGCAGCAGCTTATCCTTAGAGCTCTCTAATCACCCCAGCCTCAAACCTTGCATCCTTTCCTTTCCTATTTACAGCCCCTTTTTTTCATTCAAGCTCCTCCAGAATAAATCTCTGCTCACAACCCCTGCTATGCACACTATTTCCTAGTAGGTTTGGTGTCAGAATACGAGAGAGAATCATGCACAATTAAATAGAAGAGAGTTTAGAAAATATTTTGTGTAAAATGAAAATAACTCACCCATTTTCCTCTGAGGAAACCTTCAGCAGTGGTGTCCTCTCTGTAAAGCAAGTGTTTTTTGACCTTGGGCTGAATAATTTGGAAAAATTGAAGTGATATCTTTGGAGGAAAAAAAAAAAAAAAGAACAGTTAATTTGCATTACAATGATTCTCTAAAGTTCTACATAGTATTTTGCTAGTATCTAACTAGTCAGATAAGAATGTTAATCGTCTAAGTTAAGGTTTTTGGTAAGTTTAAACTCCCTTACAGTCAAGGGGGACTTGACTAAACAACATGAGAGAAATTTGTCTCATCCTAAAATTGGAGTCTAAAATAGTCAATGAATTTCCCTCTGCATTCCAGAGGAACCATAGACAGTTAACTCAGACTTCCATGCTTACATTTTAGACATCCAAATTTAAGGCAGACAATTTTACTGTAAAGCTAGTGAGGCAAAATTCATAAGGTAAATAATTAGATATTTTCATATAAGTTTATATAAGTATACTACATAAAACATTAAAATAACAGGATAATTTCTGTCCCATAGAAGTCATTTGACATATCGGTGACCAGAACTCTACTAATCTCTAAAATAGCCATCTCATCTTTTGTAGTAGGGAAGAAAACTCTGTCTGAAATTAGTTTTCTCTTGGAAATTTCAGCAATATTATAAAAGTAGTATGGGGTAAACAGAAAAAAACACTTTGAAGGGCTGAGTAATGTCCTCCTTCCAATTCTGTCCAAGGAACTACTGCCCATCTGAAGCAAGGAATTGGGATTATGCATACAAAACATAATTAAACTTTTAGGAATTTAATATCTTAATGCTACCGAGTTTAAGCAATACTACGACTTGGTTTTGGACAACCATGGATTACGACAGCTACCATCTTTGTGGAAAATATCTTCCCTCCTCACCGCTCAAGTTAAGTCTGCAAATTTTCTGGCCCGCAGAGGAACCCTGCCCCAAAATCCATGTCACTCCTAAACCAATAACTATAGTTTACTAAATCTGAAGTTGAGAGCAGAAGCACTAAAAAGGCACCACAGCCTGAGCAGGATGAGTCAGTCTCCGTCCCTATTGTCATAGGCAGCTGCAAGTACCTCATTCCTGAGGCACGAACCCTTCTAAACAGTTTCTGTCAGGTCCTGATCCTAGTGATTAACCAGATAATTAACTGAGAGTAAGCTATGTTTTGCCATACTGTAGTTTAGCATTGCTAAGAGACTTTTTCTTAAAATATAGATCCCAAAGCTTAAGAAACAGCTGAAGAGAATCAATCACAATCAAGGGGGTCTAGCTGTGGGGCAACTTTCTGGGAGAGATGGACTCACTGAGCCATTAGAGCATCTGCAAGACCTGGCTCTTCCAGAGACATTTTCCATCATAATGACCATTATTCAGACACACACAAATGCATTTCGTTCATAACTGCAGCCATCCACCACCAGAAAGTCCCAAAGAGATTTGCTAGACATACAGTCAATACACAGAATAATTATTCCTGGAGTTGGCTAAATGCGATGGGCACAGAAATGCCAAGGAAACCTTAAATGCCACTTGCTATTGCTAGAATTATAAAATTATAAACTAACAAATAAATATTCAAGCATGACAGGCAATACAGTCTTTTAAATATAAGACCAGTCCAAAGAAAAGGGTATGTATATTTAACTTAATATTATGATGGAGGATAATCAAATTACTTGCAATGTGTAGAGGTAAGTGTGAACTCATTACTGCTTCAGTTTGCCGGTTAGCAGTGGTCCTCTGTTTCATTCAGAAGCCGTGGCTAGGTGTGGCAAATGGGCATGGCTATCTCAGCCTTGAGTGGCCACACCTCTCATTCACACTCTTTTGTGAACACCGTATTTGCAATTTCAGCAAAAGGGAAAGAAACGTTAGAGAAGCTGAATTATCTGGTGCCTCGGGTCAGATGTTAGACAGATTAGAATTCAGGTGCTAGACTGCACTGACACTTCATCTGTGAAGAGATGATTGCTCACAAGAGAGGACTGAGGCTATTCAAGCATTCTCCTTTTGAAATAGAAGAAAATATCCCTCACACCAGAAGTTTAAGCAGAGAAATCTTTATACTTTAAAGCACACGCTAATCTAATCTAATCTTATCATAGCCTTAGAGGTAAAAGATTACCTAGAGCTTTTACAATATCAAATCTGTAAGGACAGGAAAAATACTATCAGGACTGAACGTTACTGATACACTTCTGGCTAACCCCAGCATTGCACTACATTTGAAAATTGCATCCAAACATGACACATTAGAAATGCAACTCATATGAAGACTGACTAGCTGTTTCTGCTGTTAAACAAAATAGTGTCACTTGCTGTGCAAAAAGGTTCCAAAAAGTATATATTATATATTGCTCTGATCTCACCTTGCACTGCACATGCCATTAACCATTCTGGAGTTACCTTTCTGCTTGCATGCCTGCTCCTAGGGCATGTGCAAAATCTAAGATTAGTAGCCAGAAATCTTTCTAGAAAAACTTCCATTCCCTTCTTCTAATTAACAGTTACCAACACTTTGTGTTAGATAAATATGTACATAAAATGACAATTTTGTTTCTATTAAAAAGTAAACATATAGACATGGACAATACAAGACACTGCAGGATTAGTAGGCAGTAGCAGTCTGCAGCAGACCAACAAATACCTAAAACCCAGAACTTCCTACAGTTTCTTCAGTAATCTGAAGGGTGCAGTGAACCTGCTACCTTCATAGTACCACTGAAACCAATGAAGATGTGTTCAAGTATAAGTCCCAAAATGCAGATTATTCTAACGTATAATGAAATCAGTCTCTTTCTCTGCTGAACAGGACCATTCTGCGCTAAGCAGTGACCGTTTCCCCTGCCAACAAAGGGCCGGGCACAGATTCGGGGCAGCTTCGTTCACCACCGGGGCCATGCTGCCTCCTCCCATGCAGACAGCCAGCACAAAGATAGCACCTTGCAGGCTGCCCCTACGGGCACTAAGGGGCTTAGCCAAGGAAACGCAAGGCCGGAACAAATTTGGACAATCCCTGGCCTCACACAGCAGCCAGGGCAAACTGCAAACCTGCTGTGTCCCTCCCCTGGCACCCACTTCTGCAGGGAGAGCAGGGCAGGCACCTCTTACACCACTTCTCTCTCATGGAGAAAGGAAAGCAGGGGACCGAGCAGCGGCTCATGGCATCTGTGTGAAGACTTGCTTGTAACCACATGCAAATTTGTAAAACTTAGATTTAAAACTATTTTTGACCCAGTAACTAACTTCTGACTACTCAGCTGAAGTATTGATACTTGTTCAAAATGCTCAAAATTGGCAGTTTGTGTAGACACACTTTCAGCTGCGCTTAAGACACGCCAGAGTTGATGTATTCTGCTCCGCACTCTAGTGCACAAATTCTTCATCACTAGTGTAAACGAGTAACCAGCATGCAAGCAGTGCTGAAGGATAGCAGCAAATGCGACCAAAAAGAAACAATAAAGGTGTTGTAGAAGGTGTCTGAAAGGACTGAACCCCAAGTGATGAATCCAGAAGGCTGTTTGCAGACAGCAGCTTCGCTTGCTTTGGTGCATTTGTAATCCCGACTTACTGGTATCAGTTTTGCCACCTTTAAATGTGGCTATAGAGTTTCACTGATTGCCAAGAATGGCCAATTCAGTAAAACTGGAAAATGTCTTCAGATAAAGTGAAAACCCTTAGTACATGACAACATCAATTTGCAGCCAGTAGGAGCACAAAAACAAGAATAATTAGAGAAAAAGCAGAAGAGCCTCAACTCCCCAGTGATGTGATTACTCTAATTAGAGAATGACAGTAGCATAAACAATAAAGCTAATTAGGGTATAAAAGAGTTTTGACAGCAGAAAGCTCAAGAAAAGTTGAAAAAAATATCATGAAAGAATAGCATGGATTATAAAAATGAAAGTGATCTCTGAATGGAGACCCTAACACAAGTCCCTCTGTGCCTCACCTACCTCTACAGAGGCACTATCCCAGGATCTGGTCATCCACTTCATTAAACGATAACAGAGATCTTCTGCAAGTGAAAGCTAGGAAGGCCCCCTGGCATTAGAGAAGTAAGTTTGCAGTCATCAAAAAACTATCAGCATCATTCTAGTTACTACTCAGCCCTGCAACGGATTGGTAATTATGACAGTATCCAGGTAATCCTTCCTAGAAAATAAATTACTATGATGCATTTCAAAACATTCGAGTGTTATTTATCTTCATGACCAAAAAAGCTTAAAACCTAGCATATCTTCCTGCTGGAATGTAGTGCAATCTATTTCTACTGAGCAATTCAGCAACATCACCAAGGAGCTAATTACCAGTTCAAGTCATCAGCTCATTACTGATAGACATACTTTTAGGATCAGAAGACTGGTCTGAACTTACACTAAGTGTAGATGAGGAGCTGCTAAGCTAGACATCAGCTGTGTCCACTGTTCTTCTCTCACCATTCAGAGTCAAAAATAATTAGCATTTTATGCATAAAATGTGAAAAGAGGCACAAAATACCTGCATTTCTATATGTATGCTTTTGCATGTAGGTACACGTGCAGATCTCCACATAAAAAAAAATAACATTCCTATTTCACTTTCACACAAAAGTGATGGGAAAAAAAATGAAAATAATTACTACATCTGTAGAAACACTTTCTGAGTCACCACAACAATCAACGGGAAAGCACCTAAGCAGTCAAAAGCTATAGAAAAAAAAGTACTTGACGACGACCTCTTCAATGACTTGCAGAGCACCACTCATGGTGGAAAGATTCATGTTGCGTTCATGTTAAAAAAAGAAGAGTATGGTCTGCCTCTTGTACAGCCACAGCTCTGGTCACATTCATTCTCACATTCAGTACATCTGGGCCTGTTTTTTTTTTAATAAAGAGAAATCTTTCAAACAGAAGGTTTTGTTCTTAACCACTTGGCTACTGCTGTGAAAGTAGTTTTTACAGATTTTGGCTCACCCTACAGGCATATAGGTTTGTTCTGAGGAAGCATGTGGTTTTTGAGCGGGTTACTGGCAGTCAAAGTCATATTTTCCTATCATTAGTCTTTCAAACAATTATAATTTCTGACTGTTTCCACAGTAACCCA